TATATCTCCTCTCTCTACCTATCATGCTCACACTGATACCTTTGCAAATTTTCACTCTTTTCATTTACCCTGTTTATCTGTAGTGTTTGTAGAGCTTTTTGGGAATGTCCTCTGGATTATTCATTATCTGTTCTGTCCCCTGATTGACATGAGTGGGAGCTGAGATCCCCGCACTTGCTATTTTTATTGAGTTTTTCTGGCTTGTTCTTCCCATTTGGGATGAGTGTTACACCAGTTTTGTGCTCGAACACTATTTTAAGGTAAGCATCAACCAAAGTCTGTAGTTACACAGTCAAAAGTCTGCAGATACAATCTAGTTCAAGAGATAGAATCTACTCAACATCAAACAAATATGTCTTAGTGGCCAAAGATCAGTAAAGGAGAATTTGGCAACCAGAAATTATTAGGTTTAGGGAGAATGTGGGGAAAAATAGGATTAGTGGGATGTGGGAAGGTGAGGGAGAGTGGAATTAACCAAGTTCTGATCTCAAATAGGAAAATGGTTTGGACAGAATGAAAGCAGATAGAGAAAAAAGAAAAAGAAAAAAATAATAAGAGAAAAAAGAAGAAAACGAAAAAAAGAGACAAAAAATGGGAAAACAAGAATTTACAATTAAAATGTGAAACGCTTAAAAACTGCAAGTTTGAAGAACTAATATTCAGAGAAGAATGGGGATGGGATGAGAGGAGGGGAGGGGTCAAAAGGAGACATGAAAAACTAGAAAAATAAAAAAAAATTTAAAATATTATATGGGGGGCTGGGAAGGTGGCTCAGTGGTAGAGCGCTTGCCTTGCATGCTCAAGGCCCTGGGTTCAATTCCTCAACAGCACATAAGCAAAACGAAAAAACTGGAAGTCACGCTGTGGCTCTTGCCTTGAGCTGAAGAGCTGAGGGACAGCGCACAGGCCCAGTGTTCAGGCCCCACGACCGGACCCAAAAACAATAAAAAAAATAAAAAATAAAATATTATATGGGTATAAATAGGTAATACTGCTATTAACGAGTTTAAGTCTAAGGTTTTGAGTTGAGTAATAAATGTCTGGATTAAGTGTGTACACGTTGGGGGACAAGATCTAATAATTGGCAACAGTGTATCTGAAGATGAGCAGAACAGCAATTAAGTCACACAGAAAAGAATGAAAGAGAAGAATTGAAAAGAATGAGAAAAGAAAAAGATAAAAAAATGATCAAAATGTCAGTAGAGATTTTAAAAAAACATACACACATAAACACCTAAAATTAAATTTATACCAGGAAGAAAAGAAAAAATAATAGAAAAAAATTTTTAAAAATTAGAAATTTAAAAAATATTTAAAAATAAGGTACAAAAAAAGAAAGTTCTTTGTTTTTTTTTTTTTTTGGGGGGGGGGGGGCGATGGGAAGATTCTGTATCTCCCTTTTGTTCATAACCAGTCTCTTGGTGTAGTGTCTGGTCTGCTTGTGGTGTTTGGTTTTCCTGTGGCTTGATTTGTTACTTAAGTCAGTTTGTTTGGGCAAGCAGAAAAATGCTCTGCTTTCCCCAGGATTTTGTGATCCTCCTCCCAGGCTAGTTCAATGGGATATAGATCTGCTTTGAGTATCACAAAACAGGGAGATGGCTGTTATGTCTTGTTTGGAGATGCTGTGATGAGGCTAGGTTCTGTGTAGAGTTGAGGCCTTTCAGCAAACAGTAGCTTTTCCCTGAGGGGCTAGCTTCTGAGACACTCACAGAGCCCAGCCTGGAGCCAGTCTCAGGGTTTATGTTTAATGAATTTCAATTGATTGTCAAGACTGCTGTAGGGAGGGGCAGCCTCTGGCTCTGTTTATGCAGTAAAGAGAGCAACTCCTGGGGACAGATTTTCCTCTGCCTGTGGTGGGTGACTGTTTCTTGTGTGGAGTTGAGCCTGGCAGGTCTGGGCAGGTTCCTGTGACCTGCTAAATGACTCTCTGTTTTTCTCTCAAGGCCTTAGTTGGCGCTAGCAGCTCAGCTGGGCTTTTGTCAGTATCAAAGATGGAGATCTCCGGTAGTAGGGTGGGGGATGAGTGGCCTTCCCTCCTCTGCTCCCTGAGAAGGAGTGAGGACATCAGGCTTCTACTAACACCGCCGGAGTGTTGGTTCCAGGGTCATCTCTGGTCTGCAATCTGCAGGGTCAGTTCTTGCTGGTGTTGAGTAGAATCCGCTTACCTGCTGCATCTGACATTTTTGTCCGGGACTGTGTTGCAGGTATGGCAGCTATGGCCCCTGCCGTGTTGGTGGCAGTAGGCAAGTACTCAGATCTGTCTCGTTGCCTGGATTTTCTCTCTCTGGCCACACTCTCTGTACAGTGATGGCATACTTGGTGTAATTCTCTGGCCTAGGACTGTTCACTGGAACACTAAAACTGCTTTCTATGCAAGAGCTTGTTTCACCTCCATCTTCTCCTCCACCATCTTAGTTCTTCACATTCTTAGATATGTTTTAACATCGATGTATCCAATGACTGAAAGACCCCCGGTGATCTGGGCGCCTTTCAATCTGAAGAGACCCTCTCCCAAGGAACAGTGAGACCACTTGTGAGGATGCAATCAGCAAGAGGTTTATTCAGGCATGCCCAGGCTCCCAGATACACACGACCTCAAGATCCACAAGGTTTGGGTCGGTGGCTGGGAACCTGCTTTTACACGGGTAACAAAGTCTATCGGGAGACTTGCGCGCCGGGGCACATGAAAGCATCCCTTTTTATGGACAGCTGGAAGCAGGGTAACAGAAGCGAGATGCCTGGTTACAGGTTGTTACAGGGTGTTGATTGGCTAATTTTGAGTCAGGCGAGCGGGTTAGGCAAGGTCAGTGGAGCTTAGCTGACATGTCTGTACTTGCCCCACAGGGGGTTGACTCAGTGGAGCTTGTTGACATGTCTGTACTTGCCCTACAGGGGGTTGACTCAGTGGAGCTTGTTGTTAATGGCCTGGCCACAACATTCTGCCTCACCCTCTTTTGTTTTTTTTTTTTTTTTACATAGTTTCGCAGGGCAGGGACAGCACAGCACTTTTTCTGGGGTATCTAGTGGGCTAGCATTAACTGGGGTCTTTCATTCCCCCATTTTCTTTTGTCTGAAAGAAATCCTTCATTCAACCGGGGTTTCCTCTGCTGTTTTAAGTTGATGGTATTGTTGTGTTAGCACCAGGGCCTGTACTACTGATAGGCGATCTTTTACAAATTGTATCAAGCGGTTTATAATGCAAGGGCCTAAGGTAAGAATTAGCATTAGTAGTATCAGTGGCCCCATCAGGGAGGATAATAGGGTAGTGAACCATGGGGACTTGTTCCATAATCCTTCGTACCAGCTTTGTTGGGATGTCAATTCTCGCTGCCTTTTGTCTAATCTTTCTTTAAGTTTATCTAGGGTCTTGATTACCACTCCTGTTTTGTTAGCATAAAAACAACATTCTTCCTTTAAGGCTGCACATAGGCCCCCTTCCTTAAGAAAGAGCAAATCCAACCCCCTTCGATTTTGAAGGACTACCTCGGCTAAAGAGCTTACGGAGTCAGTTAGTGTCCGGACGGACTTTTCTAGGGCTTTTAGGTCATTATTCATAGCCTGTTGGAGGAGCATGTACTGATCTGCCTTCATCAGGGCTGTGGTTCCTGTTGCGATTCCGGCCGATATTCCTCCAAGACCTAAGAGAACAGCTAAGGTAATGGTTACAGGTTCTCTTTTGTTCCTGTGTATAGGGTCCTCAAAATACCGTAGGACAAAGTCATCAGGATGGTAGGTGATACGGGGCCAAACTTGTACAAGTACACAATAATCCTGGCTTCGGTTAAAGACAGCTGCTGACACACATGGGGTGAGGCCGGTGTTACAAGCCCAATAAAGTCCATCCTGGGGAACCAAGTAATAGGACCCAGTAGGGACTGTCTGAGTTAAATTGCATAGGATTTTGTGGGATGAAGGAACGTTACCTAAACATACTCCACTGCCTGACACTTCTGGAAGGGTCAGCTGATGGCTGGGCAAGGAATTACAAATGGTAGGAGGGCTGGTGTGGTTAGTAAAATTAATATTTACAGCAATGCCTTCATAGTAAGGAGGGCTAGGGGCTAGACAAAGCCAACAGTTGTCAGTGCGGTTGGGGTCGGAATGGTTTAGGGTGGCATAAGCCCCTTTAACCAGGTTAATGAGCCTATCTTCTGTCCCAAATAAGGTCGGGGCGGCTGTGGAGGCCAACGGGGGATAAGAAGGAATTGCAGGGGCAATGGAAGTCCTAGTGGGGTTTTTGATGGCGGGGGCAATGGAAGTCCTAGTGGGGTTTTTGATGGCGGGGGCCCTGTGGTCTGACAAGATTGGGTTGGGCCCGATGGGTAATACAGGGGTCGTATCTCTTCGTAACTTAATTTGAAATATTACCCCTAGGTCTAGTCCGCCTAAATACCATCTCAGTCCCCACTGCCTGCCGCTCATCCATAAGGAAGGGAGTAAGACTTTACCTTTATCCATAAAGGAAATTTTTAGGGGCATACAGGTGGCATTGGTCTCACATGAAGTGGCCCAGGGGTGCCCTTTTTTAACATTGATTAAATCCTCGGAGGAGCTAGGTATCCAGTACGCATCTCCCGTTGTTTCACAACCCCATGAGGCACAATAGTAAGTATCTACAGATCCACATCTGTTGATAGTAGCTCGGGACCTACCGTCCTGAGGACAGACATAGAAATCCTGTTCGGCTAATTGTTTTCTTTTGTGATGTGAACAGCAGCCGACATCATCACGGGTTGAAAGCGAAAGATCGGGGCAGCCTGAGGGAATGTTAGTAGAATAGGAATCAGGTATATCCCAGCCTCCTGAAGTTACTCCGGCCACTAATTGGCAAACATCAGGAGTAAGGTCCGGCCACCAAGTTCCCCAGGGATGGTCCCCAGAGCTAATCTGCCAAATTGTATCTGCAGTACCAGATATGATCTGCCAAGTTTGTTGTATGGGCTGATGTGGGTTGGGAGAAGTGAGGCACAATTGAGATAGCAAAAGACAAAAGAGGAGAATCATGTTCGAGTAAATCTTATCTTCAGGGGGTTTTGAGTGCGCTGTATTTTCCAGGCTGGGGTCTCTGAGGTTTCCTCCGGGGCCCGGGCCGCCTTGACGTGGGAAGCGTGGATCCAGGTGGCAATTCCGTCTACCTTTACAGCCGTAGGAGTGGTGAGGAGGACGATGTACGGGCCTTTCCACCGGGGTTCCAAATTCTTTGTCTGGTGACGGCGGACCCACACGGAATCTCCTATCTGGAAGCGATGAGGCACGACGGGGTGGCTCTGGTGATCTTGGTATATTGCCACCAGAGGTTTCCAGACTTCCCGCTGGACGATCTGGAGTGCCTGTAAGTGAGCTTGCAAAGAGGGGCTATTAGCAAAGTCAGAGATGTTTGGGTCAAAGAAGTTAACAGCAGGTGGGGGGGCTCCATACAGAATTTCAAAAGGGGTGAGGCCATGGGGGCCTGAGGTATTGCGGGCGCGATAAAGGGCTAGGGGTAGGAGGAACACCCAGTCCTTCATGCCAGTTGCAAGCGTTAATTTAGTTAAAGTCTCCTTAATTGTTCTATTCATTCTTTCTACCTGTCCTGAACTCTGGGGTCTGTAAGCACAATGTAATTTCCAATCAATCCCCAGCAGTTTGGCCACCAGCTGACTTACCTGGGAGACGAACGCGGGCCCATTGACAGTCCCTAGTACCTGTGGCATACCGTACCGGGGAAAAATTTCCTCCATTAGTTTCTTGGTTACCACTCTGGAGGTTTCTTGTTTGGTAGGGAAGGCTTCCACCCAGCCTGAAAATGTGTCCACGAACACTAGGAGGTACTTGTATCCATACATTCCAGGTTTTATTTCTGTGAAGTCGATCTCCCAGTGGGTCCCCGGTCGTTGTCCCCGTACCCGCACTCCTAGTCCTACCTTAGTCTTTCCGGCGCTGACACGTGCACATATTGTGCACTGATCTGTCACCAATTGTAAACTGTCCTCTTTTCCCAGGAGATACCTTAGTCCCTCTTCTCGATCAAGGAGGGTCTTCATTTTTCGGTTGCTGAGATGGGTTAATTTGTGGAGGCGGTCTATCATCTGGTGAGTCCACTTTCTTGGCCAAACTATTTTTTCATTATAAGTCCAAATTTCATTTTCGGGGTTAAAGGTGGCCCCCATTTTCTTTAGGTCGTTCATGTCCTCTGGGCTGTAAGGGAGTGGACTGAGTCTTTTTGTCTGGGGCTTAGCCGCTACTGGAAGGACCGGGGTTTTTAGAGTCCCTCTTAGCGCTGCTTCTCGGGCGGCTTTATCAGCCAGTCGATTGCCTCTTGCTTCCGGGGTCTGTCCTTTTTGGTGTCCCGGACAATGCATAATGCTCAGTTTTTGGGGCAGGAACAAGGCCTCAAGCAGGCCCAAGATTTCAGGCTTGTTTTTAACTTCCTTGCCCTCTGAGGTCAGTAAGCCCCGCCTGCGATAGATCTCACCATGTACATGAGCGGTGGCGAAGGCATAGCGACTATGGCCTTTAGCCATCTTGAGTGCGTGGGTTAGGGCGATCAGCTCGGCGCGCTGTGCTGATGTTCCAGGCGGAAGTTCCTCGGCCCAAACTACCTCAGTTTCGGTGGTAACAGCGGCTCCGGCCTTCCGCTCCCCATTGTCCAAGAAGCTGCTCCCATCTGTGTACCAGGTGAAATCGGCATCTCGGAGAGGCTGGTCGGTCAAGTCGGGTCTAGTTCCATGTACTTCGGCCAGGATCTGCAAGCAGTCATGGGGTTCCGCCTCCCCCGGTTGTGGTAGCAGGGTGGCTGGGCTTAAAGTCACTATAGGCCCGAACTGTATTCTGTCTTTATCTAGAAGCATGGCTTGGTAGTGTGTCATGCGGGCGTTAGAAAGCCAGCGGTCTGGTGGCTGTTTGACCAGGGCCTCTATGGCATGTGGGGCCAGAATAATAAGCGGCTGTCCCAGTGTGAGCTTACCCGAGTCTTTTACCAGAACTGCAATCGCCGCTACCATCCGCAAGCATGGGGGCCAACCGGAAGCAACCGGATCCAGCTTTTTGGAAAGATAAGCCACAGGGCGTCTCCAGGGTCCCAGCTTCTGGGTCAGGATTCCTTTTGCGTACCCTTGTCTCTCATCTACGAATAGCTCAAAAGGTTTGGTTAAGTCTGGCAACCTTAAGGCCGGGGAGTGTAAAAGGGCCTCCTTGATGTTTTGGAAGGCCTTTTGTTGAGTCTCTCCCCAGGCGAACAGCGTCCCTGGTTTTGTCAGCGGGTACAGAGGGGCGGCCATCTCTGCAAAGCCGGGGATCCATAGACGGCAAAATCCAGCTGTACCCAGAAACTCCCGCAGTTGTTTTGGACTCTGGGGTGGGGCAATATTCATAATTGCCCGTTTGCGAGACTCAGTCAGCCATCTCTGCCCATCCTTGATCTGGTATCCTAAATATGTGACCTGCTTCTGGCAAATTTGCGCCTTTTTTGCGGAGGCCCTGTATCCTATGGTACCCAGGGCCTGCAAGAGGTCTTCAGTCCCTGATATACAGTCCTCCTGCGTCTGGGCTGCCAGTAACAGATCATCTACATACTGGAGCAATATTAAGGTTGGATGTTGAATTCTAAAGTCGGCTAGGTCCCGATGTAACGCCTCATCAAATAGTGTAGGGCTGTTTTTAAATCCCTGGGGTAACCTAGTCCAAGTCAATTGCCCTGATACTCCCAATTCTGGATCTTTCCATTCGAAGGCAAAAATGAGCTGACTACTAGGGTGGATCCGCAAACAAAAAAAACGCGTCCTTTAGATCCAGAACGGTGTACCAGACGTGAGTAGGGGGCAGTCCACTTAGTAGGTTGTATGGATTAGGGACCGTGGGGTGGATGTCCTCGACCCGCTTATTGACTTCTCTCAAGTCCTGTACTGGTCTATAGTCTTGAGTTCCCGGCTTTTTGACTTGGAGGAGCGGGGTATTCCAAGGAGACTGGCAGGGAGTTAGTATTCCTTGGTCTAGCAGTCGCTTTATGTGAGGGCGAATTCCCCGGTGGGCTTCTTGGGACAACGGGTATTGCTTTATGGATATAGGCGAGGCAGCAGCTTTTAGTAGAATAACTAAAGGAGCCTGGTGGACGGCTAAGCCCATACCTCCCGTCTCAGCCCAAGCTTGTGGGAATTTTTGCACCCAGGGGTGTATATACGGGTCTTCTTTGCTCTTTTCTTGTTCATACAACCTGTACTCATCCTCTATCCCGAGAGTTAGTACGTGCAATGACTGTCCTTTGGGTCCAGTAATGTGTGCCCCAGTTTCTTCGAAATGAATTTGTGCCCTCAGTTTAGTAAGCAAGTCTCTTCCCAGTAGGGGATAGGGGCAGTCGGGAACATGCAAGAAAGTATGCGTCACCTTACCGGTAGCCAACTGTACCTTACGGTCGGTGGTCCATCGGTACCGCTTCCCTCCAGTGGCTCCTTGGACCCAGGCTGATCGGTTACTCAGAGGTCCGGAGGTTGTGGTCAGCACCGAGTGTTGGGCCCCCGTGTCCACCAGGAAGGTGACGGGTTGCCCCCCAACTTCCAGAGTTATCCTAGGCTCGGGGGGGGGCTCCTGGCCTGGACCCCCCTAGTCGTCTAAGGTGAGCAGGGATGTCTGAGGTCTTGGTCTTTGAGGTCTCCTGGGATTCTTTGGGCAGTCTCTCGCCCAATGCCCCTTTTCTTTACAGTATGCACATTGATCTTTTTCTATTTGGGTACCTCGGCGGTCTCCCTTCTGTCTATCCTGTTTCTGTCCTGTCACTATGGTGGCCAGTAACTTACTCATTTCTTTAGTTCTTTTACGGTCACGTGCACTCTCCCTTTCTTCTGCTTCCTTTCTAACCCTTTCCTCCTTCTCTTCTGGAGTTTCTCTTTTATTATAAATACGTTCGGCTTCCTTGAGCAAGTCGTGTAGGGATAGTGTCTGGAGATTTTCCTGCCTTTCTAATTTCTTTCTGATATCTGGAGCTGACTGCCAAATGAAAGACATGGCGACATTTGTAGCCTGTCCCGCATCCTCAGGGTCATAAGGAGTGTAAATGCAGTACGCCTCCTTAAGACGTTCAAGGAAAGCCAAGGGCGATTCTTCTCCTTTCTGAACTATCTGCTTAACCTGAGCCAAATTGGTGGGACGCCGAGCGGCCCCATGGAGACCCGCTAATAGCAACTGGCGATAAAGGCGTAGGTGGTTCCTACCTTCAGGTGTATTGAAGTCCCAGTTTGGCTGTTCCAAGGGAAAAGCAGCGTTTATCTCATTGGGTAGTTGAGTGGGACGCCCATTTTCTCCGGGGACGTTTTTCCTTGCTTCGAGAAAAACGCGTTGTTTTTCCTCAGTAGTCAGCAGTACCTGTAATAGCTGTTGGCAATCATCCCAAGTGGGTTGATGAGTTACCAAGATAGATTCAATTAAAGAAGTTAATTTGGAGGGATCTTGGCTAAAGGGAGGATTATTATTTTTCCAGTTATACAAGTCGGAGGCTGAGAAAGGCCAGTACTGTAGCTGCCCACCCAACCCCGCGCGCAAGGGGAAGGCTCGAGAGGTGGTGGCAGAGTCTGTGGCCTGCTCTCGGCGTTCTCGGAGCCGGCCAGCTATTGGGGATGGTGCGGGGTCGGCGGGTGGTTGAGGAGCGGCAGCTTCCGCTCCCGGAGGTTGGGGAGCGGCCCCTTGATAGGGTGGCGGATCCTCGGTCAGTAAGTCCAGCAGGACGTCTTCCCCCGGTGGTAAAACCTTCGGGGCAGTAGGCCTGTCCTTTTCTGGAGCCTGCTTTTTATTTTCTAAAGGAACAAGGGCTGGGTAAAGTGAAGTATGTGGAGGGGGATGGGGAGTTGGGGAAGGAAGGAGTGGGAGAGAAAGCTGGGGGGCAGATGGGATGGTTAAGGGGGTAGGGACTTTGAGGTTTAGGGCGAATAAAAAGGGCTTAATCCAAGGGGGAGGGTCTAAAACAAGAGCCTCCCAGGTAACAATATAAGGGACCTGGTCCGGGTGTCCATGTGGTCCCGGGTCCATTATTTTGGCCTTAACCTGCAAAACAATAGTCAAGTTAAAGGTTCCTTCTCGTGGCCAATCAACATTGAAGGTGGGCCATTCTGATGAACAGAAGGTCGTCCATTTTCTCTTCCGGATTTCTACCGAAAGATTGCTGGCTGTGACTTGAACATCCTTCCAGTGCTGTAAAGTAAGGCTAAGGGGGGTTGTGACAGTTTGTCCGATAGTGAATCTCAAAGCAGACACAAACAAAATAAAACAAACACAGACTACACTTATTTTTCGCTGCGCGGTTTCGGCAGCAAACCGAAAGTAGAAATCAAATGGAGACTGTGTTGAGAGTCTGGATCTCTCGTCTCCCAAATGAACCACGCGTCCAAAAGGACCGGGTTCCAGAAAACAAATGGGCCACTTTTTCAGACCCCAAACCCCTCCAGGACATCTCCTGGGGGCTGCGGTTGGGAGTACGAGCCCGTCAGCTCCTCCTCGGGTCCGCCAAAGTCAAACGAGCACGGCCGACTGACAGAATCGCAAGCGCACAGTAATTGACAACACAACTTAACTACAGACAACACACAGACGCTGGCCAGCTTACCTCCCAGAAATGGGTCAGTGGTCCCTGGGTAGGGGGGTCTCGATCCCGGACGAGCCCCCAGATGTAAGACCCCCGGTGATCTGGGCGCCTTTCAATCTGAAGAGACCCTCTCCCAAGGAACAGCGAGACCACTTGTGCGGATGCAATCAGCAAGAGGTTTATTCAGGCATGCCCAGGCTCCCAGATACACACGACCTCAAGATCCACAAGGTTTGGGTCGGTGGCTGGGAACCTGCTTTTACACGGGTACCCGGGGCGACAAAGTCTATCGGGAGACTTGCGCGCCGGGGCACATGAAAGCATCCCTTTTTATGGACAGCTGGAAGCAGGGTAACAGAAGCGAGATGCCTGGTTACAGGTTGTTACAGGGTGTTGATTGGCTAATTTTGAGTCAGGCGAGCGGGTTAGGCAAGGTCAGTGGAGCTTAGCTGACATGTCTGTACTTGCCCCACAGGGGGTTGACTCAGTGGAGCTTGTTGACATGTCTGTACTTGCCCCACAGGGGGTTGACTCAGTGGAGCTTGTTGTTAACGGCCTGGCCACAACATTCTGCCTCACCCTCTTTTGTTTTTTTTTTTTTTTTACATAGTTTCGCAGGGCAGGGACAGCACAGCACTTTTTCTGGGGTATCCAGTGGGCTAGCATTAACTGGGGTCTTTCATTACAAAGACACATTGCTTAAGTCACCATTTTGATGACTGAAAAGAAACCATGCTGCAATCTCATTATATGGCAATTTTCTGGTTTAAAATTCTTTTAGATTAAAAATTGATGGGGGAGAATGAACATTCTATATTCAATTTTATATTTTCATAATTATTTTAATATACTTTCCAATATTATATAATTTTAAAACATTACTACTTACTTAGTTTTAGGATTTCTAAATTGGCCAGAGTAAAAGTTCTATTCATTCACAATATTAAGACCATAGAGGGTCCATTATGTTCAAGTGAGACATTTTAAGCTTTTTCTTTGTGGTCCTTAAAGGTTGTGCTGGGGAATCAAGTCCAGTGCTTTATGTGCCTTAGTCTACCGCGTGCCTGAGCCTGATGTGACCTGTGGTTTTACTTTCACTCAACTGGAATAGAGAAAAATTTCACTAAGAAGGAAAAATTACTTGGCTACTTTCTCCAATATCTCTCGCATACATAAAGTAATATAATTTTATAGTGACAGAAAATGGTGTTCCTATTAGCAGTAACTGTTTATTTTTTTAGCCCCACTCTTCACTAAGTCTTGCACCTTTCCAATTCCCTCTTTCCATAAAACATGATTAGATCCACTGGAAAACCACTTCCAGTCAGCCTCCTCCTTAAAAAGTCAAAACTTAACTAACATACCACCTGGTAGTCCCGCTATAAATTTTCAAAGGCCTGACTGCAATCAGACTCCTTCCTGAAAGCACTCCTTTGCTACAGGGAAAGCCTTCTTCCACTCCACCCCGTCCTGCAATCCCTGCTCTGCACCACCAGAAACCAAGATACAGCCATATCTCCTCCTTCTATATCCTGCTTTGCTGCACCAAGAACCCCGCCTACATCAGGCTCCTCCCTCGAATCCTCAATTCATCCACCAGATACCGGGCCCATAACTACTCTAGTCCTTCATAGTCCCATTGCTCCCATATCCTAGTACCTCCAAGCTCCTCCTTTCCCTTTCTTACCCCACCCACAACTAGCCTTCTCCCACAAGCCCATCCTCGTTTCATCAGAAACTTCCCCCATAACTAGCCTACTTCTAAATGGCCTAACCTCGCAAACACAGCCTTGGACCTACTTCTTCCCACAAAGCCCATAATGCTATACCAAAAAACCTCCACTTCCCTATAACTGCCCTTGAAGCCACACCTTGCTTGGCTAGAAGCTTCTCACATAGCCCATCTCCTGCCTGGAAAGCCAGCCCTGCTCCAACACAAGCCTCTGAAAAGATGACTTTCAACTCATCTCTCTAATGAATAATTTTGGAGTTGCTTGCCTTACTATGTATCAGAGATTTTTGTAACAGAAATTCTCTACCAGAATCCATTTTGAATTTCCTTCTTCCACTAAAGTGACCTTTGGAAAAGATTGAAGTAAGATTACACAGGTGAAATGCCAGAAATAAAAACGTATTTGAGAACATAACAAAATAATGATGAAGATCCCATTCAATGGGCTTGAAATTTTCTAACAAAAGGAACTTAAGAATATTTAACTGCAGACTTTGTGAAGACTAGAAGACAAAAATACAATAAATGTCCTGTTATACCATGGTTCTGAAAACAAAACAAAACCAAGGAAAGACAACATAATGAGACAGAAGGGAATGAGGAACTTGTACATAGAATGAAAAACATACACAGAATCAGGTAAAAATAATTTTGGTCGCAAAATTTTGTGACCAAAATTATTTTTATTATATATATATATTTCATTGTAAATTATATACATATATATATAATATATATATATATCATTGTAAATATTGTACTTTCCTAACCTGTGACTTAATATAGGTCTCAGCAGGGATCTGCCCAGGTAATTGTGTAGTTAGTCAATTTCATCATTGCAAGATCATCAGGATGGTAAACTCCCACACACCTTAACATACCTGCAGCAACACTAGACATACACTCCTATTGGTCCAACAGAATAAGGCAGACATGTATTTTACCAAAGCTTTGTAAGTGGTATTTTACCGAAGCTTTGTATGCTATGGTTTATTCAGGCGTGATACAAAATGTCTCTGCCCAGAATTAAATGATGCCATTTATAGCTAAAATGATTTAGGGTCATTATTAACATCTAATGCATGCTGAGGTTTTTATTTATACCTCTCCTTTTCCCTTTCTTTTTCCTCCCTTCTTTCTTTTCTTTTTCTTTCTTTCTTTCTATTTTTTTGGCCGGGGGAGTCTAGTCGTGAGGACTGAACTCTGGGCTTGGGTGCTGTCCCTCAGCTCTACAGCTCAAAGCTAGTGCTCTCCCAATTGAGCCACAGAGCCACTTCCGGCTTTTTTTTTTTTTTGCTTATGTTGTGCTGAGGAATGGAAACCAAGACCTCATGCATGCAAGGCAAGCGTTCTACCACTAAGCCACCTTCCCAGCCCCTTTTCCTTTCTGTTTTCTTTCTTTCTTTCTTTCTTTCTTTCTTTCTTTCTTTCTTTCTTTCTTTCTTTCTTTCTTTCGTCCTTTCTTTCGTCCTTTCTTTCTTTCTTTCGTCCTTTCTTTCGTCCTTTCTTTCTTTCTTTCGTCCTTTCTTTCTTTCTTACATTATTTCTTCCCTTTTATTTCCTCTTTTAGGAAATGAGTATGAATTTAGATATTTTGTTTGTTGAACAAGTATTCTACCATTAGAACATCCTTTTTCGATTTATTTACTTTCTCATAGGTTTTCAATTTTGCTGAGGGCTTAACAGAGGCTAAGTTCCTCACTTCTGTCTGCCAAGTAGCTGGGATCACAAATGCATTCCAACATGCCAGGCTTTAGGATGATATGAGACTCTTAGTACTTTCCTTGCATATTGGTCCTGAAATGTGATCTTCTCAAATTTTACCTCAATTAGTGATGTGAGTTCCAGTAGGCTTCTCTGTCAATATATATCATCTAAATGAATTATTGAAAGCAATTTCATTTTAATCTCTTTTTCTTTGCCAGTCCAGGGACTATTACAGTTTTATTTATATACAGTTTTTGTGTATATGTGCACATTAGCTTTAAAATATTACATTTTGACCAGTTTTTATTTTTTTAATTTTTCTTGGTTATGGGGCTTGAATTCTGGATCTAGGCGTTGTTCCTGAGCTCTTCAGATCAAGGCTATCACTTTACCACTTGAGCCACAGTGCCACTTCCTGTTTTCTGGTGGTTAATTGGAGGTAAGAATGTCATGGATTTCCTGTAAGGGGTAGCTATGAACTACCATCCTTAGATCTCAGCTACTGAGTAGCTAGGGTTAGAGGCATGAGCCACTGTCACACAGCTAAATTGTTACTTATTTTAAGTTCTATGATATAGTTGAGGGAGTATAATTATTGTGTAGAAAGGTAACTTTCAAGTGATCTCTCTAAATAATTTCAGAGTTTCATTTTCATAATATTTATTTCAGTGATTAATGATAGAAGCTCCCAAAGTAACAAAATGATCCTTCATATTCTCCTTCCCATGGGTACTATTGGAAGAGAATGAGTGAGATCTCAGTCTAAGATAATGTGTACTTGAAATTATAAAAAATTAGTTTGATGATACATAAAGAGCCAGTTAACACAACATGCTTTTCATTTTCTAAAGAAAGGAATGTCATACAAGTATGTTTATTGCCAGGCTTTTTCATCTGAAAAACAAAGAAAAAACAATATCATGAAAAAGCTGAAAGGGATCAGCAACCGTGTAACCGTCATATAGCATTGGAGACTTTAAGACATGAATTGGTTCAGGTAAAATAATAATCTGGGAAAGGTATATGTGAACTAAATTTATTCATTGTAATTTTTTATTTTTAATTATTATGTTGCTTGATATATAAATACATACATGTATATATATGTATGTATGTATACATGTAGTATATATATATATATATACACATATATATATATATATATATACATGTATATTTATATATATCAACCCTGCAACACCACTGCACATGCAAACTTATGTGTTCATCATTGTAAGCTAGAACTGTGTTTTACCAAGGATTTATATATAGTGTGTTATTTTTTCATTTAGGCTTGACACAAAATGTGTTTGCCCCTAGAAATAAGTGATGGCATTTATAACTACAATAATTTAGTGTAAATGTTTACATTAAACACATGCTCAGTATGAGTTGTTCTTTGTTTCTTTTCTTATTTTATCTTTAGGAAGTTGATTTGAGTTTAGATTTTGTGTTTGCCAGACAGGTATTCCACCACTGGAGTCATTCCAGCAATCCTTTCTTGTTTTTAAGTTACTGTACTCATAGAGTAGCAATTTTTGCACCCATCCCAAAAAGCAGGGATCATGATTGCATTCCAATATCCCTACCTTGTAGGTTGATATGGGTGATACTTTCCTTCCTAGATGCATTCAGAACAGTGATCCTCTCAAATTCTATCACTTTAGTTAATGGTGTGAGCTCCAGTTCTGCCTAACTCTAGATGATATTATGGAAATAAATGATTACAGATAATTTGATTTAATCATTGGCTAATATAGGTGATTTGATATTAAAATATATGGTAAGTTTGAAAATAAGAAAAAGAAAAAAGAAAGAAAGCGAAAGATAGAAAGAAAGAAAATTATTGAGAATGAATTTTTTGGAGTCAGGAATCACATGGCAGAGGTACTACCTGTATTGTGTATTAGGTTTGCCCCAGGCCATGCAGACCCTTTGCACACACCTTCCCACTTCTTGACTAAGTTTCCACCCTTTGTTATCTAGGTATTTGGCACACCTGGAGGCAGCCACCTCTCCCTCCTGCTAAGTCACAACCAGGTCAGCCTCTTGTCACACTTTCCATCAAACCAGAGGTGAGTCCCAGGTCTTAAAGTCACATCTAGATCCAGTGTGGCCAGAATTTTCCCCCACCTGGCCACACCTCATCCCTAGATAAGTCCTCGCCCAAGGTTGGGTCACCCCATTTTTTGTACATGCCTTTCTACCATGTATGGCATGGGCAGCAGTTCAGTAAATAAACTACTTACCTGACTGAATACCGTGTGGTGTTCTCTTCATTAACTACTTAATGAAATTCGCCTAATTAACATGCTTTACACTTAAGAATTTCTAGTATGAATCTATGGATACTTTTGTGACACATGTGAGTTCTGTATCTACAAAACATATGTACATACTCATCATTTAACAATATAATTCTGCCTGGAATCTTTAATAGCACTTTAATTAAGCATAAAGTCTATTTTGTTTGCTTTCCTTTGTTTTGTTTGTTTTTTTGCTTAAAGTAAAAAAAGAGTTAGTGGGACAATCTGAAAGGATCTCTGGCTTCATATTTTCTCATCACCCTGGGCTACAACCTATGTGCTACCAGCTCAGACGATGGGACTTTGAAATTCTGGAAAGTAGATGCACATCCTAATGACCCATGGCTTCGGGATTTCTGATTATTTTTTAAATGTAATTTTTACTTATATATGTACAGTGAGGTTACCATTTCACAAGAAATTCAGACATTTACATGTTTATTTATATTTTTTGTCAGTTGTGGGGCTTGAATTCAGGGCCTGGGCACTGTCCCTGAGACTCTGGGCTCAAGTTACGTAGCACTCTACCAATTGAGCCACAGTGCCACTTCTGGCTTTTGAGTTGTTAATTGGAGGTAAGAGTCTTATGGGGACTTTTATTCCTGGGCTGGCTTTGAACTTCAATCCTCAGATCTCAGCCTATGAGTAGCTGGGATTACAGGTATGAACCACTGGCACCTGGCTTGAAATGGTCTTGTGTGTGTGTGTGTGTGTGTGTGTGGGTGTGTGTGTGTGTGTGTGAAAATAACATGGAGAGGGGTTATAATTATATGGGCAAAGTAATGAGCACATTTCTTATCAAGCATTGTTGCCCCATCCTTTGACTCCCCTTCCCATCCCTTCTTATCTCACCCACACACACCTCCCCACCCCCCCCAACCCACACTCACTCCCCTCCTCCAGGCAAGTTTTAATGTTCTTTTTCCAACATAACATCTTGTATATATCATTGTTGCAATGGGTCCAACTGTATCCCTATTTAAACAATTTGTTTTTTCCCTTCCCTTCCACAAATTATACCAATATCAAATACAATAAAATCAGGGGTTATACCGTGGGGGAGGGACATACAAA